TAAAAAAAAAGGAATTATGTAATATTTAAAAAAAGTAGGGAAAATTGAAGAATATAAAAATTATAATTGTGTATTTAAGTTATTTTTCCGTGTCATTTTATCTATCTTATATCAAAATTAGTTATTTCAATATTACTGTTTCACCCAAAGATAAAGATAACTTACGAAAAAATGTTGAACTTTACTCTTAAATGTTTCTGTAGATTGGAACGGTCCACCGCTTCAAAGCAAAGTTATATCAATATCGATTACTTTCTCTATTTTCATTTACATGTCAGTATTTTTTATTTCACGTATACTAAAAAATTGAATTTACAATTCTATTCTTATTTAATTTTTATTTTTTTAAAATCAACTTCTCAAACAATTAATTTGACAATAATATAAATTATTTGCTTAGTTTTTCTATGTTTTACTCTTTCTTGAACGATATCATAAACAAATCTTCCTTTCCACACATATTTGGAGGCTAATGAATCGCAAAGACAAAATAAAAAAATAAATTATTATATTAATTTATGAAATGACAAAATTATGAATCAACTTTCTATTACAATAATAACATATAAAGGTCTTTCAATTTACTTTTAACTTTAGACTACTTAAAAGTAATTGATACATATATTACCTTGAAGGGCTGATTTATCTATAAGATGTAAATTCCATACCTAAACCTTATGAATTTGAGTTTGTAATTCATTTGACTTTTTGTAAATCGAACTAATATTCAATCTTCTTTTCTTAATATACTCTTATTTTTTCATTAAAATATAAATTGAACTCTTTTGAAACCTTTTGTTCTTCTTTTCTCATAGTAATTTACAAACAAATTCATTCATAAATACTATGAATAATATTAATATTTTCTTTTCTAACCCTACACATACTCAATATAAGATGAATATATTGTTCCTAACACTCTGTTTGGATCATTGTTAATCATTATTTCATAATGTATTGTATTGTATTGTACTCTATTGTATTATAGATACAATGTTTAGATAGACTGTATTGTTTGTTTGTTGTTTATTAACATTTTAATTGTTTGATTTGATTGTATCGTACTGTATTGTAATTTACAAATTTACTAAAATATTCTTAATTATTCTAGGGTGGGAGGTTTGACTAGAATTAAGTAATATAAGGTAAAGGGTAAAATAGTATTTTGAAATATTATGTAAAGATATAATTGAAAAAAGAAATTGAGTAACAACGAAAACACACCAAATCAATTGTTCTATAAAATAGGAATTTTCATTGTTACATAACAATGAGATTTAATAATATAATACAATACAATAAGTAACAATCAAAACAAACATCGTAAATATAGTAACGAATAATACAGTAGGTAACAACCAAACAGAGCGTAAGTAGCAAGTATTATCTACATGGAATGACAGAGGAATTAATTATTAGATATTACGCGAGTCTCACAATTTTAGGCAATTTAATTTATACAATAGCCAGCAAATGTATAGGGTAGATATATATTAAAAACCAAAATTTATTGAATGTACTAAAATATGATCATCATGATATAAACAATAATTTATCTCCGTAGTAGTACTACAAAAATATCATTTTGTTCTGTTATCATTTAATTTTAGATCAGATAAACCCAGCCACATATCCTCTCAATTATTGCTTTTTTTTTTCTAATTGATTCATTTAATTAATTTAATGACCAAGGGACGTCATTTTCCGTCAAATAAGACTATTTGAATTTGTTAATTAATCCTTCATTATCACTAAATTATTATATAATTTTAGGTCATATATTGTAGAGTTTTCAATTGAATTTTTTTTGTTGAGAATAAGATAGGGAAATCTAGATTCAATCAAAGCGAGAAGAAGTAGTCAAATACTCGACGTCTTGTATCAGTTGTCATGTTTTTTTCTTAAAAAATAACGTGCTTTATCTTTTGAAGTTAAATATTACAAGATCAATGCAATATTGTATAATTAAAAATAGATTTTTTAAAATTATTTGAAAAATACTACTCT